GGACCTGGTGGGGAGGTAAGTCAGTGTGGGGCGTAGGCTCCTGACCCCTTGGGGTGTCAGAGCCAACCCAGGACTCGGGATGGCAGGTCACCCCTGCTGGAGTTAGCGTATTTTTGCGTCCTCTCCAGCCCTCTTCTCTCCTATCCTGCTCAGCCCTACCTCCTGTGTTGCTGTCATTCCTACAAGAATGATCTCTGGCCTGGCTCCTGATGATTCCAGGAGTAAAAGGAGGGGGAGGGGCCAGGTTGGCTGGCTCAGACCCCACCTGCTCCTCCAGAGTGGCAGATAGATCAAATTGATAGAACAAGTTATAGACTCGTGGATAATTAGATGGTAGAATTGATCGACAGATGCAAGGACTGGTTGCTAGGTGATGGATAATAAATATGGAGAGAATTGGATAGATGGAAAGATCAATGGAAGAAAAAATAGTAGATAGATGTTGATAGATGGGTTGATGATAGATCGTTCTGTTACCATATGAATAGAAAATGGATAAATTGTTAAATGTGAAACAGTTTAGGTCAATAGCTAGAGCTACATTAAGGTGCATTGCTCTTTAGTTTAGCAAGGTACTTTGATACTAATTTTTCCGGAAAAAAACGATACTGTAATGGCTGGCGTTACTTTATCACATCTTATATGGATGTTTATACCAAGGACTTTATTAAATAGTCACAACAGCAATAGGAAGTAGGTTTTACTGCCATTTTACAGCTGAGGAAACTGAGACTCAGCTGGAGTCACCCAGCCTGCCAGCCATACAGCCCAGATGGGAGCCCTGGCAGGCTGACTGTGGGCTGTGCTTTGACTCCCTGCGTTTAGAAGAGATGGGGCATCCTCTAGACCCTCAGCCCTGACTCACAAGAGGGAGGAGGAAGCCGTTGCGCCTCTTGCCGGGGGTCCAGCCGAAGGGGAGCGACACCCCGTCCTCATACTGGGCTGGCAGCCAGCGAGCCAGGGCCTGGTTGGCGGCCCCCAGCAAGGGTCTCCTCCTGCGGCGGTGGGTGGGCTGGGGTCAGCAGGGCTGGGAAGGAGGGGAGGGAACGGGGCAACCCCAGGCCAGGTGCCGCCCCAGGCACCCACCTGTTGTTGCATCTCCCAGTGATGGTGCGGTACTTGTCACTGCACTGCTCAGCCTCATCCTGGACAGCGCAGCCACTGGCCTGGGACAGCAGCCGCAGCTGGGGTTTCGTTAGCACGTCTGGAGGGGGAGGGGCAGCGGGCAGGGTTCTAGCTCCTTCTTGACCTAGTCTGTTCTGTACCTCCCACCCCTTTCTCCTCTCTCCTCCCAATGCCCCAAGGCCACATGCCCTGCACTCCCGCCTGTCTCCCTTCCACTCCCAGGCTGGGGCAGGCCTGGTGCGGGGAGCTCAGTGGGGTGCACAGTACCAGTGACATTGAAGGATCTGGACTCCTGGAATTGCAGCTTCTCCTCCAGCAGCCCCAAGGCCACGTGCATATAATCAGCAGCCCTCACAGCTATCCTGGTGGCCGCTACTGGCTGTTTGAAGTAGGACAGGAGGTCCATGGGGCTGGCCAAGCCACTGCGAAGGCGCTGCTTGATGCTGCCCAGAAGAGGAGGAGTGAGGGCCAGGAGAAGAAGCAGACCCACCCAGCAGGGCCCCCACCGTGGGCAGTGGGCAGTCAGCACGGGGGAAATAGACAGAAGGCTGGACGGAAGGGAGGCTCTGCACTGACATGGCACTGCCCCAAGGTGCCCAGGGGCAGCTGATGGGTGAGAGGCCCTTGGCTAGAGTCCACCCCCCATCAGTGACCCTCCCAGGCCCACGCAGGCCCCAGACCCACGCAGGCCCCAGACCCAGGCCCAGGCCCACCTCCTCTCAGTCTGATTGTAGGCAGAATCCACCAGCAGCTTGGCCTTTGTTATGCAGCTCTGAAGGACTGAGGTGTCCACCGCCCCAGGGAAGGCTGTTCAGGGGGAAGGGGACTCAGGCTCCAGGGCAGCCACAGGCCCCTCAGACCCAAGTCCTCCCCGCTCCATTGCCCCTCTCCTTGGCCGTCCGAGGGGCTACTACC